ACATACTGCAGAGCATTATTGCTAGAATAAAATGAGACCATGTGTGTGACAATGCTTTGTAATGTGTACAGAGCAAATGTGAGCTTTTAAAATGTTTCTTCCTCCTTGGCTTAGAGTACAGAGCTTTCATGGTGGTGGCGAGTCAGGACAGATTCTGTGGACATATGGAGCTCCCAGGGGGCTTCTGTGGGACTCAGAGCAATATCCAGCATAACCTGCTGGGAACTACTATTCTGCAACTCCAATCCATCTGCTATGAAAATGAAAAGCCAACAAAGACGGAAAAGACTGAGGTGAGGGCACCTGCTAGCGACAACTCTCAGAAATGGGAGAAGTACACACTGTGGAGTGAACCAAAAGTCAATACAGATAGAAAGTTCATGGGACATGACCAAGAGACGTTGATGAAATGTGCTGTGCTATCAGAGTGCACCTTGCCTGGCCTCGAAGCTCTTCACTGACAGAACTGCTCTGTCAGCATCAGGGAAGTAGCCCTGGATACCCTTGTTCCATTTCTAGTATATCCTGAGTCATCCTTCTCAACCCATCTCACCCTTATCTTCAAACTAGGTCCTACCCCCTTGGAACCAATTCTTGTATGAAATCTCAAAATTCCTCTCAGGGCCACTGGTTGACATTGTTGTTCTGTTCTGACCTCTGGCTGACCCTATCAAGTACATTTTGAGTATAAAATACTTAAGCTGCTTATTGGGTATCGATTTCTGAACTCTCTACTTGATTACATTTGCTTTCTCTTCCTTTGAGTATATTGCTTTTGTTTACTCAAGGTAAACAACCTAGCTTCCTCCCTTGTAATTGCCCCAACCAAACTTATTACTCATCCAACCAGGGCTTCATAGACTCATCCCTCAGGAAATGAAACCCTGGAGCCACTAATGAGAAAAGGTATACAAAACCTACACTATACTGAGCTTGATTCGCTGTAGAGGAGGAAGTGAGTCTGATAGAGACAGATGAGTGTACACTGAAATGGTAATTATGAGCATAGAATCTGGGATTCAAATCTCAGTGGTACCACATATGGACATGTCCTTGGTCAGATTGTTTAGCCACCCTAACCATCAATGTCCTGCTACCTGGATAGTTCAGTGCCAAGGATATGACAGGTGTTCACATTAAATGTTGAATAAATGAACAGATTAATACAGATAAAGAAACCAAGGCCTACAGCAACTAGTTGATGTCTATTAAGAAAAATCAACTCTCCATATTAAAGCAAAGTTATGTCATTTCATAGAGAAGTAGTCTCAGCAAAATGATAGATTTTTTTTATTTCACCTGTACTTCATGTGAGACACGATTGTAAGCATTTGATAATTTCCTTCTGAGTTAGGTATATAGTATCTCCATTTTACCAATGAGATTATTGAGGTATGGGGAGGTTATAAATCACATAAGATTCTTAAAAAATTTATTGAAATAATTCTATGACTCATGTCAAATAGCCTTTTAAATTTTGACCGCCATTTCTTCCTTCCTTCTGTCCCTCATTGTCACAAGACTTCCCCACCACCACCCTGACACAGCAGGTCTCAGCACTGAGGAGGGCTGGGATGCATCGTTGTGTAAAAGTGAGTGTGTAACGTTGATGTACGAGGATCAGCAGTGTTGAGATGTCAAGGCTCTAAGGGCTGAGTGATCTTCTTCCTTCCCACAATGCTCAACATGTAATTTACCATTCTGGATGTACAGTCTTGTTTTTTCCTCTCTCTCAATTTGGCAAATGAGAAACAACAACTAATAGTCCTGGTTCGTCTTCAGCTTCTTGAAAGATGTATCCCTCCTTCAGATGCTTCAGGACTATGGATAGCACGAGGATTTTAGACGTAGAATATTTAAGTTTTTATAAGATCGTACAACTTCATTATGGGGTGATTGGAGTAAAGTCTGGGGCAAGAACTGGGAGAGTATATAAAAAGAGAGAAGTAAACAACGTGGAAGGCAAACCAAGGAACAAACAAACAAAAAAGATGATTTAACAAACTGTACCTATGCCTTTGTCTAAGCCTGTATCAACTCAGGGGTTCGAAACTTGTTCAGAGGGTGCCCAACATGTCCCAGAGGAAGAGAACCTTGGAGCGAGCACTTCTGAGATGAGCTAGTTCTATACTTTTTTGGAAAGATTGCATGGTATTTTATGCAAGTATTTATTATCATCCCTTGTGAAATTGTAATTATTGAGCCATCCGTGATTACTGAACTTTACTTCAGAGACTCAAACTGGAGTGATTGCAAACCAAAATACCATGGGGCCTGGTATACCAGGGAGAGCTTTCAGAGATTGATTTAACATAGCATGAGGATCCAGTCAGCAAAGCAGGTAATTTTCTCCTTACTCATTGAATGAGTTGCTAAGCACTGGTTGATCTACGTGTTGGTTCTTTGTAGAAATAACTCACAAGCAGCTGAATCATTTTAGAACAAATTTTTCATCTCTTCTTTTTTCTACAAGGTTCAGACCTGTGTAAAGCCTGAGTAACACAAATCTGCTGGTTCATTCCTGGTGAGGATGACTATGGATTTTTTGGTTTGGTTTATTTTGTTTTAGTCAGACAATGAGAACCCACTAGGGGAAAATCTTATTACTACATTCAAAATACATTTAGGGTTATTTGGTCTTATTTAGCAGATATATATATTATCCAGTGTTTCTCCAATTAGACTCCACTATATTTCTCAAAACATGAAGGAACTGTCTCATACAGCATCATTTTCAAAAGGAGCAAAAGGCAATGGGAAACGCTGTCACCTTATCCTGGAGTGCCGGTGGTATTTTCTGGGTGGCTTGAATCAAACTGACTCATCTCTCATATGCAGTTTGTCAAGATGTCAGTGTTGGGCAACAGCAGTTGAAAACTCAGAATCCTGAGCCAGTCCTCCCTTCCCTGTGGCTGCCGCATTGCTTGTGCCTGCAGGGTGAAGCTCCATCACTGACGTAGGTACTTTTGTTTTTTTTAATTTGGAAAATCCCCCGCCTCCTCCATTCTTTCTCAGAACTTCCTGCCTGAATGATTTCTCGTCTGAGGGTTAGACACAGATTTCATTTCTTCTCACTGCAGTTTTTTCCCCTTTCTGACTCTTTCCAAGCTTCCATAGGCTGCCTTTTTAATTTCTTAATTTTTGTCAGATTTAGGAAAAATTCTGACTGTAAGGAATTTTGCAGTGCTATTATGCCTCCCCACTCCCCCAATCTATTCCAGCTTTCTTTTAATGAAAATAGAACCACAATGGAGGAGAAAGATCGGCAATTAAATTATCTAAGGACCATTCAGATTTTCTTTATTGTGTAGGAATCTGAAATGTTTAATGAATATTTAAGTAAACAAACTTCAGCCGCACTTTTTATCTTAGGAATCCAGCTTTAATAAAGCCCAAACACTATTTGTTAATTATTATTGGAAATGTTAATATTTTCAAATACCTTTTGGGCCAGGGAGTTTTAAGAAACAATATTTCTACTGATTTCAATTTAAAACAACCTTTATTAAATTCTAACAGCCCCACTTTTAAACGCTGTCCCTTTACAACTCTTTCTCTGCTCTCTTTCACAATCGCGTGCAATTAAAAGCTTTATTATTGCCTTTATTATTGCTCTCGAGCCAACGAGCTGGGGCGGAGGAGTATGGGCGAGAGGGGAGTGTTTGCAGGTTGTTTTTCCGAACCCAGCTCTAAATAATTTCTTCTAAAAGAGAGGAGGATTTTCCATCTCCCAAAAGAGGCCATCGAGTTTTAAGATTGCGAGGCACGACTTCTAATCGCATCCTCCGCGGAAAAGTACAAACAGTTCCTCAGACGAGGTCCCCCACCTCCCACGCTCCCAGCTAGCCCTCCCCGCAGGGCCCCGCGACTGCCTCCCCAGCACCTGTGAATCATCAGGGAGAGGCCAGCGCTGCTGCGCTATTTGCATATCTCCACCGCCGACACCTCCCAACCTCCCTGGGCGCCCAGGGCGCTGGGAGTACGGGATCATGGCCTTAGGATTCTAGTTTCCAAGGTCTCCCGTGACCAGGACAGGCAGTCTTCCCCACTCATGCCCTGATCTGACTGTCCTTGTTCTCTAAGCCTCGGTGTCTGGACTGTCCTGGAAGGCTCAGAGGTGCCTCTGCAGACAAATCCTAAGCAACCCTACAAGAACCCCAGGCTCTGGCTGCAAATCCAACCGAAAACAGCGTCTTCTATTTTGCTGTAGGCAACAAACAACTCTCACCTCCAATCCCTGAGCCCTCTCAAGCCCAGGCTGGTTGGGCTCACTGCCCTACCCTCTGACTTCCCCTAACTCATTTGAGATCTATCCTCGATAATCACTCTGACGTACTTTAAAATAAAGTGCGCGAGGCTCTCTCCTGACCATATTCATGCAAACTCCGAACCCTGGGTGCTACTTGGACAAAATAAAGAAAAAGATTATCAGATGAGCAACCCACGTAGCCTGCCCATATATGGAGCTGGTAAGGGGACAGGAATGCCCCTTTGGACCCTCCTCTTTGGGGAACAAATCGCCTCCGAAATCTAACCCCTACCCCTTCACCGACCCCTGCCACTCCTCTGCCTGGATCGGCTCTCGGGTTCTGTGACTCAACTAAAAAGAACACAGCAGGGAAAAAAATTATAATATACATACATATGTAAATACACGTATATATTCACGCATATATGTTTTTATGCGTGCATATACACATTATACAAACATGGATGCACACACACATATACACATACACACAAGCATAAAACAACAGCCATCATCAGGAAAACATTCATAAGAAAAAAGTGCCCAAGAACGAACGTTAAAATGGAGTCTCTGCCCCTTTAGAGTGATGATAAACGATTAAAACACTAAGGTTTGCAGCAAAGCTCAGAGGGAGCTGAGTCAAGCGCTCAGAACTTCCCGACTCCTCACCCCTCGTCCCCCAGTCTTCCCTCTCTCCCCTTCCCCCGCCCTCCCCCAACACACTTCCTCCCCGCCCCGCGAGGAGACAGCTATTAAAAGCTGCTGACGTCAAAGGGGCGGCCATCTTTGATGAGGGCAGAGCTCACGTTGCATTGAAGGCGAAACCTCGGGGAGGTCAGGCTCTATCTTTCCTTCCCTCCCTGCCCCGTAGCTCCGGCACACTCAAAACCTGCAGACACCCAGTGAACACCACCCTCCGGAGAAGAAGCCAAGGTAAGGAGCCTCCTCCCCAACTGGTGATTCTGACTCTAAATGGCTGCATATCCCGAAGGAACCGCAGCTGAGCAGACCTACTGAGCCTGGGCAAATACAAGTATTTGTGCACTTAGGGTGCGGTATTCCGTGTGTGCATGTCTGGCCAGAGTCTCGCCTGGGGCTTTAGAAAAGTATTTTCGAGGTGAGCTGCTTGGGGAAGGGGTGAATGGGGACACTGCGGAGGGAGCGATGGGAAAGAAGAGCAAGGATACGCGCGGAATAATAACTTACTCTTTTGAAAGTGGTGGGACCCTCTCCTCAGTCTTGCAATGCAGTTTTCAGAGATGTTTAGGTTGTTAGGGTTTTTTTGTGGTTGCTGTTGTTTTGCTTTTTTTTCTGTAAAGAAAATAACAAAAACAAAAGCAAATAGAAATCCACCTGCATTTCCAACTCTATTATTAGGACTGTTGTCGTTAAGGCTCTATCATCCAAGGAAGAACTGAGAAGCAGGCAGGGTGTGGGCTCTGGGAGGCGAGAGAAGGGGGGAGTTCCCGCCCCAGGCGGGCGAGCTGAGATGCAGCGGCAACAGCAGCCTCCATGCCCCCACGGACTTGATTTATGCCGCCTGCTTCACGTCAGCTGCAGGCTGGCGGGAGGCAAGCGGGTCGTGCTGGCTGGGAGGGCTGACGCGGGTGGGCTCGCCTCCCGGACTGCGGCTTCTAAGACTCAGCACCCTGGACAGCAACCCGGGATCGCGGCGTCCGGAGCCTTTCAGGACCTCAGATAGCGGTCGGCTGCAGCGATGCGCCTACCTGCGGCAGAGATGCCTGGCCAGGACTGGATGTGCCAGGGCTGGAGGCCAAATTGTCTCTCTGAGACCTGGGGCTTACAGAGATCTTGGTACACAAGCATAGTAGGTTAAAAGGAAAAATCCTGTCCATGGGGACTTCTTCACAGATAATGGCCTGCCCCCTCCTCACTTTCTGCATAACTTCAAAAAATAATAGTCTATTTATGGAAATCTGTGTTGTCTTCTTCCTCTTATTTTAGGTAGGAAATAAACACATTTTAATATATGCATTTATCCTCAGTACGTTGTCAAGGTTGTTGTTTTTAACACCAAGTAGCTCTGCCTATAGATCTTAAGTGGGCATGAATACTACCGTATATAAGAAAATGCCAGCATTTCAGAAGTGATGTATCTTTCAAAATATTTCTATTTTATAAAAATCTGGTATTGGATGAACTAAGTATAATCAACTTTAAGAATGAATCCCTCTTTTCCCCTTCCCCTGATAATTAGGCATGAACACAAACACACACCCACACAAATACATCTCTGAAAAAAATTGCAGGTCCTATGATGTGTATATTTAACCTCTTTAGCCATGGTTTCGGTTAGTGGCAGTATTTCCTATGTACATTGGTTATGGCAGGCTGATACCTTTTTATTTTGACAGCATTAATACTCCTCTTCCTTAGGCAAATCCAAATGTGTCCTTCAAGATAATGCAGGTGAAAGAGCCACGATGTTAGACTAAAACTGGATTCTGACCTAAAGATCTACTGCAATTTCTATTATGGCACTGCGGGATTTTGCTGAGGCAGTGATAAGTACTTTAAAATGGTTAACCATTTTCTATTCTGAGGCATGGAGCCTCTGAGTGAACAAAAATTGTCACAGGGATATATATTACTGCTTGATATAGATGTTTAAATTGTCATAAATAACAAGGATCAAAATTGTACTACTTGGGTAGTTGTTAAAGAAGAGTAACAGTGTCACATATAAGGATATATACAATACATTAAAGAAATATATCACCATCCCCTTAAAATACCCAAAATAAGGTCTTGAATTGTGTTTAACCAGTCATAACTCCAACCATTTGTATATTAGCAACACTGAAGTTCTCTGTTTGTATACTGAAGGTGATTTCATCCTCAGTCATTTATTTATTGCCTAGTGTTTTCCCTTTTTATGGATAGCCATGTGTGATTGTGCATGGATGTAAAATTATTTGGGTAGAAATTTATCCAAAAGTGTATAACTGCATGGAAGAAGTTTATAATGCTGCAGTATTCAGACAAAATAAACAGCTGTGTTTTAGTGATGGAAAGGGGGGAGAAAATAAGGGCAAATGTCTCTAAAAATGCTTTAAGTTCATGCTGTATGTCTAGACATCTCTCTGCGTAGTTGCGTCAAATGAAAAGCCGAATGCTGCTGGAATTATGTGCTTGGACATTAGTAATCGCTGCTGGGTTTGTTTGCTAGTGGAAGACCGGGGTTGTGGGGGAGGGAGGTAGAGGACTGCAGTGGCGCTGGCAAAGGGCACAGGGCTGAGAGGAAGAGGCAACTGTACAATTGTAGAGCTAATTCTAAAATATCTTGCTGAGAAATTCAAGAGAAATACAATTGGAGCACAGTTTAACATTTATTCCATTGACAAGCTTCAGGGGGAAAATATCAAAGAGATTTTCAAATTGTAAGTTGGAATTTAAAAAACCCAGGGCAGTGCAGTGAAAGAGACAGGAGCATGTGGACGTAAGAATGAGCCAGGAAATATTCACATGGCCCCTCTAATGGTACTTGCTTGTCTGTCCATTGGCATTTTCTACATTACCACCTCGGCATTCAGTTTACAGTCTTCATAAACCACCCTTGGTAAAAACCTGAAAACTCCACGATTTTATTTTTACTTTGTTGAACACGCACAGACACAATACAAGCTGCCCTTAGATTGTGCAGTCAAAAGATATCTCTGGGCTCTATATGTTTACCCAAATGTAAGAATTACCAACTGAAACATTGATGGTTCTTCAAGTGAGCCATGTAGCTGCGTAGCAACTTGCCTTCAGCAGAACGTGTAGGTTTTGACCATTAGCAGAAATGAGAAAAATAATTCAAGAAAGAATTTGAGAAAGGAGATGTGGAGAAAAAAAATAGACACATCTGCTTTTTATATAATTCACTGTGAATAAACATTTCTCACATTAGAGAACTGCTTTACAATTCTAGAAAGGGAGGAAAATTTATGTTTCCAGCCTCAGTGCTGGCTACATTTCTGCAATGTCATCCCCCTGTCAGCAGGGACCAACTCAAGAGGAAAATATTGATCAGTAAGCACCAGATATATAAATGAACCCCATGAGGGATGTAAAGTCTAGCAATAAGTTTAGCATCTAGCAGTCTTAATAGAAACAATAAAACGTAAATAATTCCAGAAAGAAAATTCAATAAAACAGTAGAAAAATATTATGAAGGTATGTGTAATTAATTTCCCAATGAATGTGACCAGGAGAAAAATATTAAAGTAAACTAGAATGATCTGAGAGAAGAGGTAAGGCCCCAGCTACCTTTTGAAGGTTAGATAGAGATTGGGAGGCTCTACTAAACAAAAGTTATAGTAAATATAGGCAAAACTTCAAGTTAGGCAAGCCCAAGCTCTAAGCAGTCAGCAAACCCTGAAAATGTCCCTCTGTTTGGATAGGGTGGGAAGCTTATGTAGAAGAATATGGTAAAATGGAGAATTGGAGCCTTCTGTGGAAGATTTTGAATGCCAAGCTGAAAACTGGGTGCTTTATCATCTAACATCACTTTCTGGGCAGACACTGATATAACAAAGTAAACAAGTCATTTTTAATATCTAGGAAATGCTATTGACAGAGTGAATTTAATTTGTGTTATTCCAAAAACAGAGAGAAGCAAATTAGTCCCATAAGAGGTATTTGATTTTTTTTAAAAAAAAAATCAGTCTTAATTTAGCCTCTTTTAAGATACCCTTTCAGGAAACACATGCCTACATGGACATATAAGTCCTGTGCAGAAGGAAGTTGTAAGCTTCAATTTTCCATTATAGACTAGACCAAATTGTTTGAGATGACCACTTGCCTGGGAGATTAAAAAGCAGGTCAGGAATCTGATGATGACAGACCCCAGCAGGTATACTTGAATGATAATCCTCAGGTAAAACTCTCCCTTATACCTTCTGAGTATGCTGCATTGTCATAGACACTGGCTAGAAAGGTGGAAAAAAAGAGCACACTGCAGACTGCAGGACAAACAGAGCCAAGTCTAAGTGATTAAGAACAGAGCAGGAGGGTAACATTTTGTGAAGCTGGGTTGAGAAGAGATGGACAACATGTCAAAATTCTTTCCCTAATAACATTGCTGACCTGCTAGTTACCCTTGCTCCGGGGCTAGTTGGAAGTCTGAACTATACATGTTTCCTTTCTGTCTTTGTGGTTACTACTCTCAGAGCAGAGCTTGCAAATCCAAATACTGACAGACCTACAAAGCAAAATAGCCAATGGTTTGCGGTAGAGGAAGGGCAGTTACAGACACAGATTTTGTTAGTGTTTCATCCCAGCTAGGAAGTATTGAGACTATCCTTTTTTCTCCAAACAATGCTAGGAGAAAAATATTGTAGGGTAACCTTCTGATTTCTAAGCTGACCTGGGGAAAATCTAGAAGTAGTGACATTTGATGCATTCCAAGGAGGTCAGGCTAGTGGTTTATTAAACAGCCCACAGGGCCTTTCTTATGCAAGAGAAAGGAAGAAATGAAATGTAATATTGAAGAAGCGTATCCAGAATATGGAGTAATAGTTTAAAAGAAGTTAAATCTTTAAAAATTTATCTTACAAGAAAACAGTCTTCAGAGAATTTTCACAACACTATAAGATCTTCAGAATTGCTGTTGTTGTCATAGCAGTAACTTCTATTCTTTCTGCATAAGATCTCCAGCACTTCCCAAAATAAAAAACCTAAGCAGTTTCTGATTTCTAAATAAATGATGAAACCACAGTCCTATGTGCTCAGATATTATATCAGGTAACATTTAACAAGGTGTAAATCTGATTTAGGACAGATACCTAAAGCATTGTTTAATCAGAATAAGCCTATGGGGAAAAAGTGAGTCACACTCCTTGTAAAAGTTTTGACCTATATGAACTCACAGAGTGCGTATAACAACCTTGTAGTCAGATTACTGTTACTGTTTCCATGTTACAGCTAAGGCAACGGGGGCAGAGTCAAGACGAGCTAAGTAGCTTGTCACAGAATATAGGCAGGACCTAAATGCAATCAGTTTGACTCCAGAAACTAAGTTATAAATTATATATTCTGCTACTTCTTGCATCGTCCACATTTTTCCTATTGGCAAAATAAAGCACAGACAGTGTACATGATTTTTTATGATGTCTTTTTCTGTTCATCTGGGCAGCAGGGCAATGACGGTGAGGATGTTGGTCAGGATCCAGAAGCCCAGTGCTATCCATAAAGATAGTGCTTGTAATTTCCTGTTTTGGAATCCCAGTCTTTAAATAAGTCACTCAAGCACTGTTAAACTCAGTTTCTTCATCTGCAGGCTGACAAAAGTGGACTCACATTGGTCAGTATCCCTTCCATTCAAATGCTCATGAAATCAGTGCTGAAAACCATGACAGTGTGTGTCCGAGTCTAGTAGCCAATAGTCTCAGCTGGCATTGCTTTAGTAACGGTTCTGTTACCTACCAGCCCTCCTCCATTACAAGATGAATGCCTCCCTGCCTCTCTCAATCCATTCTTTTTCTTCAAAATTGCTTTGACATCATCTTTCGGAAGCCTTTCCGGTCAAACGAGAAATTCTGGCTTTTTCCTCAATGGTCTATTCTGGGTCATCGTGGCTGTGGGCATCTCCTATCCTTCCTAATCAGGTTTGTAGCTGTCTGGCACCCACTATCTCCCACAATGTACCTAAACTTTTTGTAATTCTGTTTTTCAACCTAATTAAATATTTATAAAATTCCTTTCTTTTTTGATCATCCATAATGTCTTACTTAAAGCATTATATTAGCTGCTGTTTATTCACTCCTCCCTTCTCCCTCTGGCACTTATAAAAGGAAAGTAGGAGC